AACGAAGTAGAGATAGAAATATTAAAGAAAAAGTGAAAGAAGTAAAAACCATTGAAGAAATATTAAAGAAAAGAAGAAGAAGAAGAAGAAGATGTCGAAGAAAAATGAAAGAAACAAAAAGTTAAAAACATAGGAAATAGAATAAAAAGAAGAAGAGGAAAGTAGAAGCAGAGGAAGATAAAGAGATAGCAATAAAGACGAAAAAAAAACAAAAGGAAAGAACAATAAAGATGTAGAAAAAGGAAATGATGTCTCAGAGATATTAAAAAAGAAGACTTCAAAGAGGAAGATCTCGAAAAAAACCAGACGTCGAAAAAGAAGGAAATATCGGAGAGAGAGAGAGAGAGAAAAGTATAATAAGCAGATGAAGAAAACAGAGAACAGCAAACAGAAAGAAAAAAAGTGAAGAAGAGCTTAGCCCTTCTTTCGATCTTAGTTTCATCGCGAGACGAGGTCGCTCGATTCATGTAATGGAACACGTGCCACGAGATAACGATGTGGAAATGAAAGGCAACGAGTGATAATGACTCTGGCATATGGAATTCGCGTCTAGGTGAGGTGAGGAGTTGGTGGAAAAATCGAGTCGAGAGCGTAGGGGACTTTCGTGAAATTGCAGATAGATGAATGGGTGTGGAAGAAAGCCAGGGGTTGTTGGGGATCCCCAGATTTTTGAGAAGTGAAGAGAACGCTGTTGGGTATGTGGTGATGATGATGATGATGATCTAGTGGGACGAGATTTGATTAAGAAATTGAATAGGTAGGCTGGATGCGTGGGTGATTTAGGTTGCTTTAATGAGGAAAGTTGATGAACTTATATTGGCGTGGATACTGTGGATTATTGTTGGAATTTGTAGGTTGATAAAATAGACAATTTTGTTGAGCTTTTAAATAAATAATGGAGGTAGCAAGATTTTGTTATATATCTGATTGATTTAAATTATTAAAAATCGTTCAAAACAATCATAATATAATTAATTATCTATCTAAAAAAGAAAAATTAAATCGAATAATAAAGTTGAAATTATAAAACCGTAAAGAAATTAGATATAAAAGTAGATAATTTAACGAATGATGATTTATCGTAAAAAATTATCACGGTTTGTAGATCAGTTTGATAACAAAGATGAGCTGAATTCACATAAAAGAGAACAAGAATATAAACAGTTACAATTGAGAGATCTGAAAGACTTTACAATAATAACGTGGAAAATTGCCACAATCTGTGGATCAAAGAAATGGCGAAGCTAACAAGAAGTCTAAATCGAGTAAAAAGATGTGAAAAGGTGTATGGGTTAAGAAAAATATTTTGAAAAGGAAAGATTTCGAAGGAACTTAGAGTTCCAGTGTTGAGTAGGAAAAGTTGATTTCAACAAATGAATCTTCATATGTTTGTCTGAAAGAAATAAAAATTTAATTTTCAAAGAATTAGTAATTAATTGAGAATTAGTATTTCAAATTCTTAAATTAAAAATAACATTTGATGAGGTGATAATTAGGTATTAATTAGATTATTAACATTAATTTTTAATTCATAGGCTTTTTTGAAATTTAAATAAAGACCCAAGTATAGATAACTAGGAACTTTTCTATGGATTTTTCTAAAATTTAATATTATAGATGTATATTAAAATCAAAATTTCCAAAAAAAAATTACTATATTATTCAAATCATCTTTAATAGAATCTCAAATATGAAGAGAAAATTTAATCTTTAGATTAAAGTATTAATAAAAAATCAAACTTTAATTAATTTTAATCCTTATAACCTAAAAAAATCGAAAATCTATGCAAATAAAATAAATACTTGTTAAAAAGTATCAAACTATAAAATCGTTCGATTTCGCCATTTTGGATACAATTTTAAAAGTTAGAAAAGAAGTTCTTCTCGACTTTTTTCAACGACTAAAAGAAAATCTAGACAATAAATCAAAATATCAATAAATAATAAACAATCAGAGAAAAATCATTGAATGATTACGAAATGAAGTTCCAAATGAAATGAATTTTTAATCAACCACCAATCTCCTAAACACAATTTCCTGCCATAATGACCCATCGAGATCAATTTACCATCTAAATTCGATTCTCCAGAGGAGATTCTGAACAGTGAGACGAACGAACCAATTGGAAATTATGCCAGAACGCTTTCTACGCTTTTTATCGAGCTCATCGATCGGCGTGTTACGACAGATACAGCGCGTGAGCTCGCATGATTGCTGCACCAGACTCCTCGTGTCCGCTGACGAGGCGAAATCGGCGCATGCATTACGAAAGTTAACTGGAGCACGAATCGACTTTCGATTCGATGGATCCTCCCTGAAAACCGAGAGTTGCACACTCCTTCGAATATTGGAATTCCTTCGAACTTTACCTTTTGAAGGAGGAGGAGGAGGAGGGAAAGGGGAAAGAGGAAGATCACAATCCCTTTGAAGGATTCCAATCCTGAATAACGTATGCATCACGTAAATAACACTCGAAAAGTTTCATGAGAGATTTGATTCTCCTTTTTAAAATGGAATATCGGTCGAGATGTTGATTTCTAAATGAGATCCTATGTGAGTTGTATATATAAGATGATTAAATGGAAATGGTTAGAATAGAGATCAGTGTTTTTTGATTTTGTTTTTGTTTTTTGAGACTTACTTTAGTAACAAAATTGAACATTGTTCTTCTCGTTATATAAAAATCTTTAATTAATAGAATAAAATAACATATAATACTTTATTTTTAGATATGCAAATTAATATAAAATGTTCTAGTGAAAATATCAATAAAATATTAAAAAACTATTTTGATCACTTTGGAAATAAATACACATTGAGAGAAATTATTCTAAGAATATTAGGTTGTCTTAAAATATTTTTATAAATATTAATACATATAATAAATATAAATATATACAACAAGATGTTTATTCTGAATAATAATAAATAATATTAAAATATTAAATTTATAGATGAAATAATTGAATTTGTAATAAAATTTTTAATTGATTGTAACCAATAACTTATTTATTTTTCGTGTTTATATTTGCTAAATTAATTTGATTATAATTACAAAATTAATATATTAATTAATTATTTTTAGATAACGATTGTACGATTGTATAGTTTTACAAAAAATACAATTTATTGAACAATCTTGGAATACTTATGTTTTGAAATGATCTTCATTCATGCTAATACTACATTTTATAAATTATTTCATGGTATAAATTTTACGAAGAAAACAAATTACATCAATTTATCAACAACACAAGATTACACTTAAACCAGAATCGATCATCTTCGCTCATGACCACATCCTACCACAACGAATCCACGAGATCTTCACAAGACACTTTCACTCAGAACATCCTCCAGATGTTCTTTTAAATCACCATCAATCGAAGAAGACTCATTTCACACTAATCCATCAGTTAAATTTTTAAAATTTTTTATTACAGCAATTAATTTCTTATATCTTCAAACTATTGAACAAGTGTAAAATTGATTTCGAATCGAATTTTCAATGGAAAGAGATATCTATCCTGGAATAACAATAAAAAATCAAAATACAATTATATACTTCTTAATTTTTCCCGATGCTGCAATTCTTATTTTTATTACAATATTAATTACATAATATTTTTTCTCTTATATTATAAATCTATTGATATTTTGAAACGTAAAACGATACGAAGAACTGAAGAATGCTTGTGAAATAATAATTTTTTTAATTCTAATTTCAAATCTAGCCCGAGTACGTTCAAAATTATTTTTATGATAAACACGTATTAATTAATCGTTGAAATAAAAACCAAGAAAAATCAAATTGAAATAAAAAAAAACTATAAAAACGATGAAAATATAACAATTTTTAAAGAATCTACGACTCTTCAAAAAATTTGTTGATCAAGTTCAGATTTTAACGTTAAGTTTAAACATCATTATGAAAGATAACTTTTGCTCCCTGTTAGAAGAAAAAAAAAAAGAAAGAGAGAAAGAAAGAGAGAGAATTTTACCCTCATGTTTCGTTCTGCGAGCTTTTGAAGTGACAGATTCTCGCGGGAAAGCTGGCGAACGTTTCCACGGGTGAGTTAGAGATCGCATGGAGCAGCGGGATATCTAGTCGCAGGTCATTCACATCGCGAGGGGACGAGCAGTAAAAATAGAACGAGAACGTCAGGAGTGCGTGGTCTCACGCGCGACCACGAGGATGATATCGACGAAGACGATGAAATTGACCTAGAAGAGGAGGATTCGAGGAGGATCCAAAACCTTTAAGAGTTCTCTACGAATTTGGAGAAGAATCAAATTTTTTTTTTTTTTTTTTTAGGAATAAGGAAAGATTTACAATATATTTTTATGCGATATTTTTACAAAGATGAGATGTACGTAAAATCTGTTTCATAGAAAAGAAACGATGCAATTATTTCTTTTCTTTAGTTATTTAATTAAATCAATTAATTATATCGCATTCGTTATCTTGTTTGGTATTTGTGTCTTTGATATTCCAACGATTTGAATTTGTTTGAAATAATTTTTACGAAAAGATGTCAGAATTATCTTAATTCTCAAGAGATAAGCATCATCAATTGTTAAAATGTATATTATTGTTCTAATCGTGGAACAAAACGTTTTCCCTGCTCTGACAATCAAAACTGAAGCTCACTATCATCGTTAACGACCAATTAAACTGCAATTAAATTGGCCTCAGTATGTCGATAGCTTTAACAATACACACTGCTGCTCTCACAACACAAGCCACATTTGGATTATAAGAATCGTTAAAAATATTGTACAATGCACAATTTATTATTAGCCTAAAATTAATCTCGAATTTTTTAATTTCTGATAAAAATAATTTTTTCTTTTTAATTTTATTTTCCTTGTCAAACAATTTTTAAAGAATTGATGTATGTATTTTTAATTAATAGAAGGAATAGGTGTTATTTTTTTCAAAATTAATTAAAAAACACTCGAGTTTGGTCCAGAGTTTTATCTAATATTTAGTACATACCTGCGTGTAACACCAATTTTCGGCCACGGGGGTGTTCACTTCCGGTGGTGGAGGGCTTGGTACACGGCTTACTGCCATACTACTGCTGCTGTGCAAGTTTGAGCTGACCCGCGACGTTTGAGGCGCACAGTCGCTCACCGCAAGTCTGAAACACATATGAATTGTTCCTGTCTTATTTTCAGTTTGCGTAGTTTTATCAAAATTAGGTCTTTGGAATTGTATGATAGATAGAATAATTAGAATTAGAAGGGCAACTTTTAATTATTCGTAACAACTTTTAATAAATTCTATTCTATTTTGTATCTTTTGATTGAACAATATTATCCTTTAAAGATTACTCATGGATTTTTAATTAATAATATATTACAATCTTATTTTAAAAATTGTAAAAAAAAAGAAATTTGATAAAATTTATTAATATTTATTCTTTATTATTAATGTAAACAAATATTGGTCAAAGGGTAAGTTTTAAATATATTTATTTATAAGAATTATAATTAGAAGTCTTCTTATTATGTACAAATATATATAAGTCTACATATATATAATATTGTAATAGTTTCTAGTACTATATTTTAATTAAAGAAATTCTTTAAATATCAAAGTTTTTGTAAGAATAATAATCAAGTCTTATAAAAAATGAAATGTTACTTGTTATCTACAACCAAATTTCATGAAAAGAAAGCTTTGTATCACATTCTAATTTGCCTTCAATTCACCCCATATATCAATCACACAAGTTTACATTAAAATAAAAATTTCAATTTAACAACTTAATTAATTATCATATATCACAAAATATATATTTTTTAATATCAAAAAAAAAAACAATAATTTTTACAAAACAATTTATTCTTTTTATAATATTCATCATATAAATATATCTTATTTCGAGATTCTCTTAATTGTGCAAGATAGCCCAGACTGAAAAGAATTCTTTCAGTTGCTCAAACAAAGATCAGTGGATCGAGGCACGCGTGAACAGATCGTTACGTTACACATACCACGAGGAGGGACGGTAGTCGCTCGATGCGAGGAAAAGGGGTGACCGAGGAGAGAAGGAGGGCTGAACGGCGAAAGAGGTGGACATAGAACGAGGGAAGGGGTAGGATGAAGAAAAGAAGCATGAAAGAAGAGTATGCGGGGCACGCGATGGTGCTCACGTGCGCCAAGTACGGAACTACTCGAGCATCATCGAGCCGAGTACATTAGCCCCGCAGGTTCATCGGACCTGCTTCTCTTTCTCGATTCTCTCTAGTCAAGCGGTGGTCGCTACGCGACTTCTCGTCTTAACCTTTTAACCCTTATCGGGCCGGTCAATCGATACATTAATGCGATAACCACGAAGGTGGATTGGTCAGATTGCTTAATCGTGTCGAGCCTTAGAGTAGTAGATCGTCGTTTCTGTCCTCTGAATGGCTCACCTTTAGTGAAATTCTTTCGATTTTTACTTTTACTTTTAAAACGAATATATAATTTTCTCATTTTTTTTTATTGTAATAATTCGTGATTTTTTTTTATAAAAATGTGGTTTAAATTTATTAATATCGTATAGGAATAATTATATCGTATTTAACTTGAATATGATTCAAGAAAATATGATGTGTTATATAGTAAATAAAATATATATTGTAATAAATATAGAATAAAATAATTATTGTTCTGTTATTTTAATAAATTTATTTCTGAAGAGGTTAAATCGATAAAGAGAGTCAATAAATGCTATAATTAGATTGGAAAGAATAGGAAATTGTTACTAGGAATTAAAATGTACAATTACTAAATGCAAAGATAGGGAAGAACTTATTAAGCAAGAAGAATTACTAAATATATAGTTATTAAATAACAATAAATGAAACTATAACCAAATCATTTTTAATATAAATACTTTCGAAAATAAATAATTAAATAAAGATTTTTATTTACAGAAATTAAAATATACCATTTCTAGTAACAATTTCTAAATCTTATTGAATTTATTGTATTTACATTAGACATTTCATATGGCAATTTAAGGCAAACATAAATCTTTAAATTGAAAATAAATTTTATAAAAAAACATTGAATATTATCGGTTTTAATTATCTATTAATATCTCAAAAAAACACAAATTATAAAAGAAAATTTCAATTTGTATATAATAATTTCTAATCATCAATTCCTCTTCGATTCTTCATTAAATTTAACTAACATAAATTCTTAAGCTACCAAAACTCATTATTATAATTGGTAATCATCGCCTACGTCTATGAAGACTTATTAGTAATAAATGTCAAGTTATTACTCTCTAAGTACTTTTCTTGATGATTATCATCTTTGTCGTTCGTTTCATTATGTAGACTAATTTCCGCCTCTGTACATATAATCGTACATATTGTGTAACTCATAAAGCAATTAATAAGTTAGAAGCAAACAATGATACTATTTTATTTGATATTTTAAACAAAAATCAATAATCGAGCTATGTCATTGAAGAATATAAATAGGAACAATACTTTTCTCGTTTATGACTTTTTTTTTATCTAACTACATTATCACTAACTCGATGATTATACGGTTTTTTCAAGTTCAGGCTTTAAATCACTAAGAATATCAGTATGATTTATTATGTTTATTAATTCAATTTAATAGAATTTGTTGTAAATTGTCTGAAATATCTTGTAAAAATTGATTCTTTTATTCGAGAAATTACACATTAAATTATTATCGTATTAATCTCTTGTAAATTTTATTAAATAATGGAATTATTGAAATTTGAAATTATTAAATAAAAAATTAATTAGATTAGATAAAAAATTTGCGAAGAATTTTTTTTTTTTGAATGAAAGAAACATTAATTTATATTTTAAATTGATCTTAAATTGAATATAGAAAACTGAAATAAAAAAATACTGAAAGATGAAAATAGATTATACTAATTCAATTCAAGAACTGCGTTTCATATATAAACAAAAAGATTGAGAATTATAGAAAAAAGAACGATTTATTTTAAAAATATTGGAAACTATGAGCACAAGTTAAATTCTAATTCTATTCACGGAATAAAGAAAAATTAAAAAATTTGATATTTATATATATAGATTATTCAATTAATTGTATAATATAATTATTTTTACTACATATTTATTTAGTACATTAAAAATATTTATTTATGAATATTTCGTTTTAGTTTTTAGTATATTCAATTTTCAATACCCTTCGAAATTGCTAGAGATCATCAAATAAAAGTGTTCGTGAATGATTGTGGCACCGGATGGGTTAATATTAGTATTTATCCCCTTCCAAAGGACATCGTTTCCGCTTACGGATGCCGTTTGGGTTATATTAAGAGACGTATGGAGGTGAACTACATACGGTTAAATTGTTGTTCAACATACGGACGCACCCGTTGCAACAGAAAAAGTGT